CTCAAATGGTACATGGAAGTTGGGCCATAGCAGCCGTCATGGGTATCTTCATAGGTTAAGCCTGGAGTGACATGCCATGGTTCGAGGTCGAAGTCGAACCCGAGCCACTGCAGTAGCCCCATTCTCTTTCGGCTCACTTCTCGACACCATCCTCCTCCTCATGGGTTGGATTTCTTCAACCCATATTCACAATCCCTAAAATGGGCGATTACGTGGTCCAAGACGGTCGAGAACTTCACCAGCACCACCGACCAATAGGACTTCTCGGGAGGTAAGTTCTTCGACCCGTTAGGCCTCGTGGGTACCATAAAGAACAGTGAATACGTCCCTAATTATGAAAAGATCAAGAAACTCCATTTAAAAATTGTATGTACTATTTGAACCTTTTAGAGAAGTACAAGGATCAATTTGGACAAAAATAATTGTACCAAATTGAACATTAAAGTCAAGTTTGAGTACCAAAAAGTATATTTACCCAAATATAAAACTGTAAAACGTAGAAGCATCGGGGATTAAGAAAAAAATCCGTAGACCATCGAAGCCCAGATACGGGAAAGAGGGCAATGAGCTTATCTCTCCTTCAAGGCTATTCTTCGGCGGAAGATGAAGAACCGGCTGAGCCTGACCGTATTCGTTACGGGGACTCTTCCGAAGAAGATGCCGGTGAAGAAGGCGACGGCATCGGTGGTAATACCCACTCCGCCGCTCCCAAGCGGTACGACTCCTCCGTCTTCGATTTCCCCGATCCCACTCGAAAATCCGCTCTCCCTTCCGCATTCGACGCTTTTTCGAAGGTATAATTTTTTATTTCTTTCGCCCTAAATATTTTGGTAAAAAAACCCTCTAGCTAATAATGTGTAGGGAATTTGTGAAATTTGAAGTAAAGTTAGGTTCCTGCTTTTTGTGAAATAAAATTAAAATCTTTTGTAAGTAATAATATTTCTTGTTCACCGATTGAAAGTAGATAAAAAAAAGGCTCTCTAAATTGATGATGGTGGAATTAGGGTTTTTTTTAGGTAATGATAGAATTAGGGTGGTTCTGATTTTGTAAGGGTATTTGTTCTCTTGTTGGTTCCTGGAGATTTCAGGGCCACCGGAGTTCCTAAACCATGCAGTTGAGGAACCGGGTTCGGTAAGTGACTCTGCCCAACAGCAAGGAAGGCATCGTGGACGGAGGGAATTCAAAGATAAGAAGGATATGCCTTCTGGTATTTCTCTCATTTTCCCAATTTCAAAGTTCGTTTTACAGATTCTTTAGCCAAGACATGGGCTCAGAAGGTTTACATTTACTGTGTTTATTTAAATTGATTATCGGCCGTATTTGATTTAAATACGGTGGAAAAAGCTGCTTTTAGGAAGAAAGTAGAACCTCGAGAGTAGAAGAGCAAAGTTCCGTATCAGCTATGTTTCTTTTGGTGCATGGAGTAGGCTTTTGGATTATGCTTCTATTGAAATGTTTACAGTTGGTGCTATATCTTTGCAGTTCCGGCAAGGAACAATGTCGATGGATTTATTTATTGGGTGTCCGAATGATCAATTTTGTTGAATAGCTTCTAATGTGTATGCTACTTTCAGTTCTTGTAACTTCTAAGTGATGTTTCTTCAAGAATTTTGAAGTTTAAACCATGCCCTTCTCTACCCGTCAAGGCACTTTGGCCCTTGGCTGGTCATTTGTCTTCGATTTACAGTATGGTTACATTGATGTTGTTTGATATTAGGGGTTTATCAATCTATAACCTAATTGTCATTTCCGTTGTATGAGTAATTGGGTTTCGGTTTTGTTGGTTGTTTAAAGGTGCTGTGGTAGAAGCAAAACCTCAGCTTGTTGGAATCCATGATCGAGTGAGAAGTGATATCGAGGGTAGCAAGCCTCCTGTGTCAGCAGTTCCAAACACCAAACAGGATGGAACAAAGCGAGTCGCAACTGCAACGAATCCAAATGCAGAAGATGCTGCTGAACTCTTGAGGTACATCGTAATTGTTTCCTGCATAAATTCAGAAGTCTTTTTCCGAACAGTCTTTTTCCATTCTTTCTTTCTGGTTATAGATTTATAACCAGCTTCAATCTAAATATGAGATGCACTGCACCTAAACAAGCCTTTTCGTATAATTTTTGCCGTCCTGTCATCTTAACCAAATCAATGTTTTGTTTATAGGATGTGCCTACAATGCGGAGTTCCTAAGACATACTCGAGTGCTAGAGGAATGGTCTGCCGGTGTGTGGTGACCGTCCTCTTGCAGATGCCGACAAAGATTCCAAGAAGAAGGGGTCTACTATCAAAGATAAGAGAAAGTAAGAGAATGAAGGGCCAATCATCACATGCAAGCTGGAAGAGTGAGACAGAGATGCAACTCAGGCAGCAATTTGACTAGTCGGATATTCCAGACTTGCACCTCGGAAAATGTTGGTGTTCTAGGTTGACGGGGTTATCTAACCAATATAGTCCATGCGATATCCATTGTCTGCGAACTTTAAATTCATTGATCCATGTTGTTCTAGGTACATTGAGGTTTATCTGGGAATGTTATGTATTATAGCCTATTAAGAATGCTTAATCTATGTACTGTGTTTTACTTGTTTTTCGCACTTGAATTGAGATTTTACGGACTTGGTGCATGAGGAATAAGTATAAGACAAGCAATTGCCTATGTGAAATTAGTATTTGGATTTTGCAAGTAAAGGTTTCACACCTAAGAAAATTTTCAAAATTCTTCTCTAGGAATTTGGGTTGGCCGGATGGACCGAGTCGAATTATAGATCACCGTGTAAAACGACCGACCCTTGGATAAGTTTAGCCTAAACTAAGGAAATATCAAGGAATTGCTTATTTATTTTTAATTTGTTTGTTCATTCATAATTGATGTCACGTCACGTCACGAATCAAATTTTATTTTATATACGACGGATGATTGTGTATAACATAATCACTCTTGTAGTACAGTACCAAATTGTTCCGATGCATGACGTTTAGTTAAAAGATTTAGGGTAAACTACACGGGAGACTATCAAACTATGATCATTAATCGATTTTGTCACTGAATTATTTTTTATCTCAATTCGACTACTAAACTTTTTAATTGATTCAATCAGATCACTCTCCGTTAAAAAAAAAGAACTTGTTGACGTGTCCGTTAATAAAATTGGCATAATTATATTAACATGGCACGTGTCAATACATGATTGGAAGGTTTTATTTATAAATTTTAAATTATTAATTTAATGATTTTTATCCAATCAGGTGGTGACACGTGTCACCACCTGATTGAAATGGAAAATAGAACTAAAAAGATGCAGTTAGGTAGGATCGAACCTGCGCCCAAAACTCCCAAATGATTTTAACTTACAACAATTTGTATTTAACTTCTAAATGTTTGTTAATGATAAAAAAATGAAAAAAATTATTTGTTTAAATAAATTTCGGTTTAATTAATTGTTAAAGAAAAAATTCGTTAATAATTTTTAAATAAATTCGGATCGATTACGGTTAAGGAAAAAATAATTTATTTATTTTGGTAATAATTTCAAATAAATTTCGATTCTAAGGTTAAAGAAAAAAATCGGTTGATTTGGTTCGGTTAATAATTTTCAAATTAAATTTCGGTTCGATTAACGGTTAAAGAAAAATAATTTATTTTATTCGGTTAATAATTTTCAAATAAATTTTGGTTCGATTAACGTTCAAATAATTTTGGTTCGATTAATGGTTAAAGAAAAATATTCGGTTAATAATTTTCAAATTTTGGTTCGATTAACGGTCAAATAATTTCGGTTCGATTATGTTAAAGAAAAAAATTCGGTTAATTTGGTTCGTTAATAATTTTCAAATAAATTTTAGTTCGACTAACGGTTAAAGAAAAAATTATTTATTTAAACAAATAATTTGTTTCATTGTTTTTATCATTAACTTTTAGAAATCAAATACAAATTGTTGTAAGTTAGAACCATTGGGGAGCTTTGGCCCAGTGGTTTGGGCGCCTTGTTACCCTTCACCCCCTTAGACGCAGGTTCGATCCTGCAGTTGTGACACATGTCACCACTTGATTGGATACAAAATCATTAAATTAATAATTTAAAATTCATAAATAAAACCTTCCAATCATGTGTTGACACGTGTTATGTTCTAATTGGATAGTTAAATTTATTTAATTGAATTAAAATAGTAACTAAATTGATAGAATATGTAAATATTAAAGACCAAATATATAATTATGTTAATTTTATTAATGGACATGTCAACAAGTCTATTTTTTTAATGGAGTAGTCTGATTGAATCAATTAAAAAGTTTGGTGGTCGAATTGAGATAAAAAATAATTCGATGGCAAGATCGATTAATGACTATAGTTTGATGGTCTCCCGCGTAATTTACTCAAAGATTTAATATTTATTTTAGGCCTTTTTTTTCATTTTTGAAATTTAACTTCAGTACTTTTACAACTCTTAATCACTTGAGCATTTAGTCCTATCTTGTTCCAAAAATAGACGGTGACCCAATAAGACCCTCACGTAAAAACAATTAAAATCAAACATTAATCTTTCAAAAAAATTCAAACATTAAATAATTAAAATAATACAAAAAAAAATAAGAATTTTAAAATATAAAAGTATCCAGAAACTATCAAATTTTAGACCTCAGTTTTAGAAATTATATATTTAAAAAATCATAAATATATTTAACTTGTTTCTTAAATTAAAATTCATAAAATCGTTACAGCATATATTTTTAATCTTTTGAATTTTTAATTGATTTTTTACGAGTTCTAGTTTCACTTACTTTTAGACATGCCGACAATGTCTCACTAGTCTACATCAGTTTTTAACGAAAACAACCAAGGACTAAAGTGATGAAAGGAACGAAAATAAATGGGCCAAAATGGACTACGGTAAAAGTTACTCCATCTTACGAGGTCAAATGGTATTGAGTCTAATTAGAAAAAGGAAATTAATGGAAACATGGCTGAATATTTTGTGAAAAGAAAACAGAGATTTTTGAAGTATTAATGAGAGAGAAGCGAATGAGTAAGTTTATCACAAACCGTTGCAAATGATTTAATAACACATGCTGCCAAAAGACCATGGTGTGTCTAAGGGAAAAAAAATCTAAAATAGGGGACGAACCTGCACAACTTATGTCGATGCCGGACTCACAGCGATCACCATTATACATGATCATGAACAAATAGATCAAATTTTACAAAGATTACCTTCCGTCACAGTTTGTCGGCGCTTTTTTATCTGAACCGGCAGCATAGGTTCCATTGCCGCCAACTTGTTCTTCTGATAACATTGGAAGTGGATCCGTGATAGAGCCATGAATCTGTCATTACGATCTGTTATGAGACATGGACTTTCTTCGAGTTCACAGAAAGAAAGAAAAAACGAAGGGCGATAAAGGAATGCTTACCATGGCATGAGACTTCGACGATGCAGCGTCGATATCCGGCCTTTGAGAAGGATCTGAAGGCCTATGGAATAGTAAGTGTGCTATGGATCTATCTATAGGGTTTGTGTCAGTTTCCATATCCATAAACCCGGTGCACCTGGATAAAACAAACATTTCGAATTATGAATTATTTGGGTTCAATAACTTCTTAGGTCCCTGCTAGTTTTGCAAATAGGCAAATTAAGCTTTCCTTCCTCCCCCTAGATAAAAATTGATTCAATTACTTCTCAAGTCCTTGGTAGTTTTGAAACCAGAAAAAAACTAGTTTGGACCATACTTTTTAGGTTTAACTACTACTTAGGTCCCAGTCAATTTTGAAATTAGACAAACTAAGCCTATCCACCCCTCGTTTTTTAAGTATAAATACTTCTTAGATCTCAGTCAATTTTAAAATTAAGCACATTAAACTCTTGACCCCCTTTTTATTCATAAATACTTCTTAGGTTCATGTCAATTTCGAATAGACAAATTAAACCCTTCCCTGTACACCACCATTAACTATCTTATGTACTAGTTTCAGTATCAGTGATATTAAGAAGTACTAAGAAATCCATGATTCAAGTAACGAAACATACTTGCTTGTTTCATTGGCCACTGATGAACCACTCGCATCTTCATCTTTATCATCCCGGATGCCACCTTTTGGTTTCGAGCAATTGTGCCTTTGTTCAGCACTCCTAGCCAAACGATACAGACTATCCCGTATGCACAGCTTTGTCCTGATATCCAGCTGAAATTTGAAACATTTTGATTAGATCAATACCATGTTTACGGATTAGCCAAGAGAACAAGCGCACTTGCACATAAGAAAACCTTTGCATATACTATACCTTTTCCATGACTTGTTGAAGCTGCCGAAAACTAGTTGCCTCTAGTGAGACTTCGTCCAAAGGAGAAATTACACAAGAGGTTTCCCTTGCATTTGAAGAATCTAATTCATCTGGATTTACTACACAAACACCTTCAACTTCACTACGACATGCATCCTGTTGTACCTGGTTTAGAATGGTAATTGGATCACAAATTGCCATCTCACTTCCCATTTTTGCATGTTTGGCAGTCCTATTAAGTGGGACTTGCGTATCTTGTTGGCAATATAGCTTTCCCTTCTTCTTACTTGTTATAATGGAAGGAGCCTCAAATGAAGGACCATGAGAACTCTCCACAGACTGTACCTGGTTTGATGTGTGAGATAACTTGATTTTCGAATAAGAATGGTCATTATTTTCAGATTTGGCACTAGACATAGTTGGACAGATTGAAACTTGATCCGAAGAATTTATGTAGCCAGGAAGCATATAAGGAATATCTGTCTCTACGTAATTCACAGAATCAGGTCCAAGGTTCCGCTGAAGATCTGAAGAGGATAAGAGTTGATAGGATGAATTGGTAATGGGGTGCTTCACATCTACAAATTGCTTGCTGCTGCTGCTATATTGAGTAAAAGAACCACCATTTTCCAGATATTGACCTTTTCTTCCTCCTGACGCTTTATGCTGCTTTGAATGCTTTTCTTGTGAACTGATCTGTAATTTGGTAATGAAATGAGACGAAATAATGAAAATTCCACATAGCAAACAATATATTCAGGAAAGCTTATAACAAAGAATCTTTCATTTTGAACCAGCTTAAGAGTAGATCATATTTGATTGTTATCCAAATCAAATTATAAACGAGCACTAAATTTATTGTAGCATTAAATTCATATTGAGAAGAAAGGCCTATAAGTTCTAGGTGATGAAAACCAAATAACTAAATATTCATAAAAAAATATGAAATAGAGAGAAAGAAACAAGATTTTCTAACCTGCTCACAGGATGTCGAGTCATCCTTACTTTCAGATTCTTTATTGGCTATATGTAAAGAAGGCGTGTGAGCAAGACCAGCATTATCACCTATCATATTAACAGAAGTTAAATTGTCATTCAGAAATATGCTTTTTTTTAGGAGTCATGTGTTGACAAACCTGCACTTGCTGGCCTAGAAGTTGAACAGTCCTCTTGTATACTCTTCAGTTTAGAATCAGCCTTGAATGCATCTTGAGATCCTTCAGCCAGTTGGGAAGATGAAAACCAGTACAAATCATCTTCATCGTCAAAACTACCCAGCCCAAATGTTGAATCACAACTTCTGCAAGAAAAAATATGGAAGGTTGAGTTACTCCACGTATTGCTTTTCCTTGTGGGTTGCATGTACATATATGTTGAATCACAACCCAAATGTTTACTCAAATTAGCACTACTTTGTAAACTTACACGCATCCATCCGTCCATATGGGGTGCATGTACATATATGTGATAGTTTTGGATTTAGGAATGTATATACTCAATTTATACCAAAACGGGTGGTCCTTTTGAAGCTCCTAGTAGGGATGGGCATAGGACCCGAACCCGACGGGTCGGGTTTTTAAAAAAAAATCGGATTTAGGTTTAGGGTGAAAATACCTAACCCGAAAAAATATAATTTTACCTTATATATTTAGGAATAATTATAATATTACCCCTCTATATATTATTTTTTTCAATTAAATCACTGTTTTTATTGAATAAAAATAATATTTTTTTTATTATTTCGGGTCGGGTCGGGTTCGGGTCACTTGGAGGGTCTATATTATGCGGGTCGGGTCGGATTTCGAGTGGGAAGCCATTGTTCTCGGGTCGGATCGGGTGGACCAAAAATCCGACCCATGCCCATCCCTAGCTACTAGTCGGATTTTAAATGGTAAAGCATAGCATGGATAATAAATGGTTGGATTTCAAGAACTACCTGAACATCCTGTCAACATCCTCAAAATTCCCTATGTCTCCCAAGCCAAAGTATAAGAGATCACCATTTTCTTTGTCCTCGTGGTTATTAATAGAAAATCTGATATCATCATCAGCTGCAGTTATGTGATTTAGTGGAAAACGGTAGTTATTGTTGTCTTCTGTAGCACACTTGTCAAGCAGGAGAGGATCATCAGAACAGAAGTCACTTCCAACCGAATCTATTTTTCCAGTTTCAAGATCATTGCTTGACATCCTGGCATCATCAGAAGCCATGTTTGCTATTTCTTTGTGTGTGTCATTACCAGCTGAAGTGGTAAACACGCTATCAGGACTGTGAGACCATGGTCCCTTTTCCAACATTCTGTTCTTGGTCAAAGTATTTACACCTTTCTCCTTCTCCCCCAAAATACCATATTTATTTGTGTTATCAGTATCACCAGTAACTCCAATCACTTCAAGTAGTGGTCTTTTTTTACTATTACCTTGAACTTTCAACTGAGCACTGTATTCATCAGCAGTACGAGGCACTATATGATCATCAGTATCTCCAAAATCATCCCAAACATTATCTTCAAGCTGTAACGTCAATTACACAAGTTTAGTAATAAACAATAATATTTCAACACAAGAAGGTTCAAAAAAATTAGATCAAGTTTAGTAATAAACAATCATACTTCAACAAAAGAAGGTTCAAAATAAATTAGATCAATGATAGGTTTTCCATCCTTAGCTAGAACAACACAATTCTTAAAAAGGTAATGCAACCAAAACATGAAGGCACCTAAGGAGGTCCAAGGCAAATCTGAAGGGCAACGCTTTAAAAGAAAAGCCATCCAATGATAATAGCATCAGCATAAACCCTAATTAATTCTGGTAGCAGTCATCTTGTACATTTCAACAAGAAGATTATACAAGTGCACTAGATAATTGCATTCTAGCACCAAATATTGGCAATATAGAAAAACAAATATTAAGCTAGCATAACAACTCGTTAACGTGAATAAAATATAATTTAGAACAGCCCACCAAGAAGAAGACCTCAAAGGAATAGTAATTTGGTGCAATGATATTATTCTCCTGAAATATATATGTATATATATTTGAAAAAAATACTAGTCTCCAGCTAATAGAGCTTGGATTAAAGCCTTCAAAAACAATTTAAACTAAATGAACAAAAAATGAATTTGGAAGTGAAATTCTCTGGCACAAATCAGATTGTCCAATCTCTGAAGAGAAGAGCAAAATTCAGGAACCATTAAGTATAACTTAGACCTTGCCAGACCCAAAAGATAATTAACAAATTCAACCCCCAGAAACCCAATTATCTACAAAGTCAAACGGGATACAGCAAACCCGAAAATATAGGAACTAAAAAGCTTCAAACTGATGTACTTGAAAAAATGAAGTTCAAAATAAGTTAGATGGATGATAGGTTTTCCATTCCTTAGCCAGAACAACACAATTCTTAAAAAAGTAACTCAACCAAAAACATTAAGGCAACTAAGGCGGTCCAAGGCAAAACTGAAGAACAATACTTTTACAAGATTTTTACCATTGCACTAGATAATCGCATTCTAGCACCAATAATTGGCAATATAAAAAAAATATTAAGCTAGCATAACCACTCGTTAAAGTGAATAAAATCTTAGTTAGAACAGCCCACCAAGAAGAGGACCACAAAGGAATAGTTATTTGGTGCAATGATACTAGTCTCCTGAAATATATATATTTTAAAAAAAGTACTAGTCTCCAGCTAATAAAGTTTGGATTGAAGCCTTCATGAACGATTTATACTAAAAGAACAAAAAATGAATTTGGGATTAAATCCTTTGAGGACCACAAAGGAATAGTTATTGGTGCAATGATACTAGTCCGGAAATATATATATTAAAAAAGTACTAGTCTCCAGCTAATAAGTTTGGATTGAAGCCTTCATGAACGATTTATACTAAAAGAACAAAAAATGAATTTGGGATTAAATCCTTTAGACACAAATCAAGCTGTCCAATCTCCCAAGAGAAGAGCAAAATTCAGGAACCATTAAGTATGACTTGGACCTTGCCAGACCAAAAAGATAATTAACAAATTGAACCCTAGAAACCTAATTACCAACAAATTCAAACAGGCTACAGCAAACCTGAAAATAAGAAAATAAAAATGCTTCAAACTGAAGTGGTTAAGATTATTCTTTTCATAGCAAATTCATCACACCCTCTAATTTTCAATAAATCCCTCCACTATATAATAACAATAGAGGAGGTATATCACACCATACAACTTATAAGTTCTATTGACATGTTAAATATGGTAGACAGCCGAAAGTAAAATCATATCTCAAACTGAATCAATAAGCTGAAACTACTGCATCTGAACGTTATTGAAGCCTTCAAAAACGATTTAAACTAAAAGAAAAAAAAAAGATGAATTTGAGAGTGAAATCCTTTGGCACAAATCAGATTGTCCAATCTCTGACGAGAAGAGCAAAATTCAGGAACCATTAAGTATGAATTAGACCTTGCCAGACCCAAAAGATAATTAACAAATTGAACCCCTAGAAACCAAGTTATCTACAAAGTCAAACAGGATACAGCAAACCCGAAAATAGACCTAAATAGCTTCAAACTGATGTACTTGAAAAAAGGAAGTTCAAAATAAGTTAGATGGATGATAGGTTTTCCATTCCTTAGTTAGAACAACACAATTCTTAAAAAAGTAGCCCAACCAAAAACAATAAGGAAACTAAGGCAGTCCAAGGAAAATCCGAAGAGCAATACTTCAAAAGAAAAGCAATCCAATAATGATTGCATCAGCATAAACCCTAAGTAATTCCGATAAGCAGCCATCTTGTGCATGATCAAATGCTCTTGCACGTTTCAACTACAAGATTTTTACCATTACACTAGATAATCACATTCTAGCACCAATAATTGGCAATATACAAAAAATATTAAGCTAGCATAACCACTCGTTAAAGTGAATAAAATCTTATTTAGAACAGCCCACCAAGAAGAGGACCTCAAAGGAATAATTATTTGGTGCAATGATATTAGTCTCCTGAAATATATATATATTTTAAAAAAAAGTACTAGTCTCTAGCTAATAAAGCTTGGATTGAAGCCTTCATGAAGGATTTATACTAAAAGAACAAAAAATGAATTTGGGATTAAATCCTTTTGACACAAATCAAGCTGTCCAATCTCTTAAGAGAAGAGCAAAATTCAGGAACCATTAAGTATGACTTGGACCTTGCCAGACAAAAAAGATAATTAACAAATTGAACCCTAGAAACCTAATTACCAACAAAGTCAAACAGGCTACAGCAAACCTGAAAATAAGAAACTAAAAATGCTTCAAACTGAAGTGGTTAAGATTCTTCTTTTCATAACAAATTCTTCACACCCTCTAATTTTCAATAAATCCCTCTACTATATAATAACGATAGAGGAGGTATACCACACCATACAACTTATAAGTTCTATTGACATGTTAAATATAGTAGACGGCCGAAGGAAAAATCATATCTCAAACTGAATCAATAAGCTGAAACTACTGCGTCTGAACTTTATTGAAGCCTTCAAAAACGATTTAAACTAAAAGAAAAGAAAAAAAATGAATTTGGGAGTGAAATCCTTTGGCACAAATCAGATTGTCCAATCTCTGACGAGAAGAGAAAAATTCAGGAACCATTAAGTATGACTTAGACCTTGCCAGACCCAAAAGATAATTAGCAAATTGAACCCCTAGAAACCTAGTTATCTACAAATTCAAACAGGATACAGCAAACCCGAAAATACAGGACCTAAAAAGCTTCAAACTGATGTACTTGAAAAAAGGAAGTTCAAAATAAGTTAGATGGATGATAGGTTTTCCATTCCTTAGTTAGAACAACACAATTCTTAAAAAAGTAGCTCAACCAAAAACAATAAGGCAACTAAGGCGGTTCAAGGCAAATTTGAAGAGCAATACTTCAAAAGAACAGCAATCCAATGATGATTGCATCAGCATAAACCCTAAGTAATTCCGATAAGCAGCCATCTTGTGCATGATCAAATGCTCTTGCACATTTCAGCTACAAGATTTTTACCATTGCACTAGATAATCGCATCATAACCACTCGTTAAAGTGAATAAAATCTTATTTAGAACAGCCCACCAAGAAGGGGACCTCAAAGGAATAGTTATTTGGTGCAATGATATTAGTCTCCAGCTAATAAATCTTGGATTGAAGCCTTCATGAACGATTTATACTAAAAGAACAAAAAATGAATTTGGGATTAAATCCTTTTGACACAAATCAAGCTGTCCAATCTCTTAAGAGAAGAGCAAAATTCAGGAACCATTAAGTATGACTTGGACCTTGCCAGACCAAAAAGATAATTAACAAGTTGAACCCTAGAAACCTAATTACCAACAAAGTCAAACAGGCTACAGCAAACCTGAAAATAAGAAACTAAAAACGCTTCAAACTGAAGTGGTTAAGATTCTTCTTTTCATAACAAATTCATCACACCCTCTAATTTTCAATAAATCCCTCGACTACATGATAAATGTAGAGGAGGTATACACGCCATTCAACTTATAAGTTCTATTGACATGTTAAATATAGGAGACAGCTGAAAGTAAAATCATATCTCAAACTGAATCAATAAGCTGAAACTACTGCATCTGACAAACTTTATTGAATCACTTCTCTACTAGAAAATGAAAGTAAAATCTACTAGAAATGAAAGTAAAAAAATAAACTTAAAAGAAACTTACCTAAGAACTTACCTACATACATGCACAAGTCAGACATTCCTCCTATGATCTTTAACCACCAGTAAACACAAATCCAATATTTTGACACGATGACATGTTTTATAGAAGGTGATTTGCGCCCGCTTTATCTTTCTGAAACACAAACCACGATAATCAAAACAGATCAGAAAAATCATTAATCATAAGTTAACTTCCGAATTTGTGAAATTAATCAAGTTTAAAATCGAAAAGCTCTCAATCCACAACAAACAGAAAGTAAATTACTCTTCAGCGTAAAAGCACCAAACTGCATCCACAACTTTCGTAGCAGTAAATACACAGTAATCTAATATCTATTTCATTACTTTCTCGCGTAAATCAATTTTTCTAATCAATTTTTTCTCGTCAGCAAAAGGCAGAAAATTCAGAAATATTTTAATTAATAGAAAAAAAAAATTGCAAGCGAGAATTTGTATCAGATTTAGATTGACTTCTAGTAATTTGTTTCTTCTCTTTTATCTCAATTTTCTAAGAGAATACATCTAAAACTCCGTTTCATTTCCTGCAGTTTCTCAGCTACCAAACAAATATATATAAAACAATCAAGACAAATCCAAGGAAATCGAGTGAAAAAATAAGTACCGGAAACTTTTGAAATGGAAAAAAAAAACTCACCTGAGACTGACAATTTTCACCGGAAAAAAAAACTCCACTCTCCAAAGAAGAAATAAAGACAGATTTCCTTCCAATTAAAGGCAAAGATTCACTGAAACGAAGGCTTCAAAATCAACAGAACAAAGTTATTCACCGGTTATTGTACGGACTTTTTCTAACCCTAAATTTATGAGAGATTCCCAGGAAGTTCCAGAGCAACTTTTTTTTCTTTCTTCTGGATGGGAATTGATTAAAGAATATTTTATTATTTAATTATACTTTTCGAAAGTGGTTAAAGGAAAGGTAACTGAGAGGCAGACACGTGGCGAGGAGATCAAAACAACGGCCGTGGTAAAACTGGTGATATCAGAATTCGTGGATGAGAGTAGGGGATGAGTTCCGATCAGTTTCTTTGATATGATTGGTCCACGTGGGTTTATGCATTTGGAAAAATGGACACGTGTCCCGGGACCACATCGGTCGTGGAATTTTCAAATGTGGCGTTCACGTGGTTGAGCGTTATTTGGTGGTTCGAGAATTCTACGTTTCTTTTTATCGTGGCGTTGAGTATTTTTAAGTACTTTTGTTGGCCTAACCTTTCAGTTTTTTTTATATATTTCGTTTTTAAAAATATTAACGACGTGTTATATCATATTTTTATTATTTTTATAAATTATAAATTACAGTTAAACTAACTATAAAAAATCTAGTTATATAATTGTCGCAACCGTCTTTCGGTTGGGCCCCGGAATTGGGCTTTGACTTGAGTGATTGGGTTGGGAGTCGCCACCGACCATTATGAATTTAGGTGGGTCGGACACCATCTTACCTGATCTGCGTTGTACCAGAAACGTGTCGGGTTCGGGAGTCGATTACGGTCAAGGAAGGGTTAGCACCCTTGAACCGCCCTTTCGGTACCAATTAATTTGTCGGTTGTCTTAGTTGCGAAAATTTAAAATTTAAATTTAAATTTAAAAACTCGATTCACATTACTTACCTTTGATTGGTTGGAGTTCTTCTAAAAAAGGTCAAAAATGTTAGAAAATATAATAATAGACAAATGTTAGATAAATCAAAAAAAACATAAAAAAAAAAGAATAAAATAAAGTATCGACTTAGAGGATCAAATTGAGACAAATTGAAATTAATGGACTAGATTGGTATTAAAATGAACTGCAAAAGAGAAAAGAAAAAGTTAGGTGCCAATTCACGAAATATAAAAAATATAAACATGGACCAAATTGATTAAATTGGAAATTCGGAGGCAAATTTACAGGTAGTGACCAAAATGAATTGCGACTCAAAGTATCAGGGACTACGGAAGGGATTTAAGAATCTTGTATTTGCAGGATGGTCCTTGGTATATAAATACCAAAACCGGCCTATTTTGAATCATTTCTCTCCATTTTCCAGATCTCTTCTCTCAAATGAGAGATATCTCTCTCAAACAGCCCTTCCTCGGGCGATATCCGGCCACCGTCTGGTGGCCCACTCACCGCACCGCCGCCCCGGCCGCCGGAAACAAAACCAAACCTTAGCAAGATGTTCCCCTTAACCCCGTAAACACGAAACCAAGCCTAAAATCCCCAAAAACCCCACCTACCGGAGTAGATCTAAACAAAAAGTCTCGACCTTTTACCTTTCCGGCGACCTTTCCGCTTCTGTTCTCGCCGTGCCCGCTCTCGGTTTCTCTTGGCTTTGGCCTTTTTATGTATTCCTTTACTTGTGTTTGGGGTTTGGCTTCAGTGATGTTATTTTGGCTCTGTTTTCGTGTACTTTAGTACTGTTGATGCTGTGTTGATGTTGTGATGTTCTATGTTTTTGTTGTGTTGATGTGTTTTGACTGTGTGGTACACGATGATGGTTTCTGGTCTTGGTTTCTTTGTTCTCTCGGTGTGCTGTGCCCGATTCTTGGGTTTCCAGTGGATGTTTTTTTGGCAGTGACTTGGCCGTGGGTTTTTATAACCCCCGCCGGCCGTTGAGAACCCCGGATATTGTGGAGTACTCGGTTCGTGGTTGACCGACCATCCCGGGATGGGTCAGTCCCGGGATAACGGCCGGCCGTTTCGCTCATGACCCTTGAACTCCCGTGCGGCGCGTGTTGACATGCGTGCCTAGGGTTCTCAGACCACAAACCTGTGCTGGGCTGGTTCAGGCCCGTTCTGACTTATTTGGATCCCGTTTTGGACCTGAAACAAAACCAAAATAAGTTAAAAAAATGAAAAATAATAATAATAATAATAATAAATAATAATAATAATATATATATACATAAATATTTTCAAAAACATACAATATATAAATTTTCAAAATGTTTTTTTTTTTTTTTAAAACTATATAATATACGAATGTTTTCCAACATGTTTTCAAAAAAGATTATATAAATTTTCCCAAAATGTTTTAAAAACTATATAATAAAAATGTTTTCAAAATGCTTTCAAAACTATAATATATATGTTTTCAAAAATGTTTTCAAAAACTATATATATATATAAGTTTTCCAAATGATTTTAAAAATTATATATTATATATATTTTCTAAAATGTTTTTTTAAAACTATATATTATATAATTTTAAAAACTATTAAAAACTATATATTATATACGTAGTTTCAAAATATGTATATATATAAATATGTAGGTACATATAAAGGGGGAAAAAATATGTCGACGAAAATTAGTGTCTACAGCTGCCCCTCTTTGTCCTTTTTCGTGGAACGAAAAATAGGACAAAGATAAAAAGACACAAATTTTCGTTCTGTGGAGTTGAAAAATAACTCCCTGTCGAATTGGGTTGCGGATGGATCCTCCGTCGCGAAGTCGATTCCATCTCGAAATGATATAGAATTGAAGCCGCAGTTCGGGATTTGAATCGGGATGTGGCTTCTCGCTGTAGTCTGCTTCGGTCTTTTCCTCGGTTTAAAGATCTGGGTTGGAAAATTCGACTTAAAAGTAGTTTCTTGACTCCACCCTGTGGTTGATAGGCCCTCGAGCTGAATAAAATCGAACTCCGAAGGTCTTCGTTGACAAATAGCTTTTCTCGTCTTAAGCTATACTGCCGGAAAAACGATTTATTGTCACTAAGGCACGGTTAACCCAGGTCTTCTTCTCGACTTGAAAACCTTGATTGCAGCCGTACACTAGTGTGATTGAGGTAGCATCGAGCTAAATAGAGTCGAACTCGACAATTTTATTGACAAATAGCCCTTCTTGCCTTGAGCTATGTTGTAACTGATATGACCTCGAAGTTGAGTGTAATCGAACCCAGGGGTCTTTGGCAGATAGCCCTTCTCGACTTAAGCTATGCTGCAAATGATGTGCCTTAGAGCTGAGCGTAGTCGCACTCGAAGGTCTTTGATGACAGATAACCCTTCTAGCCTTGAGTTATGCTGTAAATGATATGCCGTTGAGCTGAGCGTAGTCAAACTCAAAGGTCTTTTGTTAACAGATAACCCTTCTAGCCTTGAGTTATGCTGTAAATGTTATGCCCTTGAAGCTGAGTGTAATCGAACTTAAGGGTCTTTGGCAGATAACCCTTCTTGACTTAAGCTATTCTGCAAATGATGTGCCTTGGAGCTGAGCGTAGTCGAACTCAAAGGTCTTTGGTTACAGATAACCCTTCTAGCCTTGAGTTATGCTGTAAATGATATGCCCTTGAAGCTGAGTGTAATCGAACTTAAGGGTCTTTAGTTGGCAGATAACCCTTCTTGACTTAAGTTATACTGCAAATGATGTGCCTTCGAAGCTGAACGTAGTCGAACTCGAGGGTCTTTGGCAGATAGCCCTTCTCGACTTAAGCTATTCTGCAAATGATGTGCCTTGGAGCTGAGCGTAGTCGAACTCAAAGGTCTTTGGTTACAGATAACCCTTCTAGCCTTGAGTTATGCTGTAAATGATATGCCCTTGAAGCTGAGTGTAATCGAACTTAAGGGTCTTTAGTTGGCAGATAACCCTTCTTGACTTAAGTTATACTGCAAATGATGTGCCTTCGAAGCTGAACGTAGTCGAACTCGAGGGTCTTTGGCAGATAGCCCTTCTCGACTTAAGCTATTCTGCAAATGATGTGCCTTGGAGCTGAGCGTAGTCGAACTCAAAGGTCTTTGGTGACAGATAACCCTTCTAGCCTTGAGTTATGCTGTAAATGATATGCCCTTGAAGCTGAGTGTAATCGAACTTAAGGGTCTTTAGTTGGCAGATAACCCTTCTCGACTTAAGTTATGCTGCAAATGATGTGCCTTGGAGCTGAGCGTAGTCGAACTCAAAGGTCTTTTGTTAGCAGATAACCCTTCTTGACTTAAGTTATGCTGCAAATGATGTGCCTTGGAGCTGAGCGTAGTCGAACTCAAAGGTCTTGGTGGACAGATAGCCCTTCTGGCCTTGAGCTAAGCTGCAAATAGTTTGTTTAAAAATGGCTTCCCTTTACGGGTCGAAAACAATCATGATTCTTCAGGTGGTTCCCCTAAGCTGGTCTGGGAAAACCTACTGATAATTCTGACAGCCGGATATCTTCCGTCGTGGAATTGAAATCTGGCTTGAAAGTGTTAACTGAAAAGATGTTGCTCATTGTTGAGTTGAGCTGAACTGAATTTGATCTGAATTGGTTCTCGAACCCATCTGAAATTGGTTCTGAGATCTGTATATATGTAAAGTCGATTGAGGTGTAGCTTCTTGCTGCTGAGTTACACCATTGTTCTTTAAAGGTGCCTGCAAGTCGAGTAGCCTTCATCCTGAAGTCGAAGCTTGACTCTGAAAGCTGCAAAATTATGCATGCTAAAATGATGAATGTAATGCACCTAAGTATGTCTAAGATGCATGCAACATGAATAAATTATGTGTTATTTCTTGGATGGAGTCTCGTGCTTTGCCTGCCAATCTCCTCCATGTAATCGATCGTGCCCCATTTGCTTCTCGAGCTTGGGCTTTACAGACATTTCATATCTGAGATTGTTCTGTTTGAAAACGTTTTTCTCCTTTTTCTTGTTTCAGGAGGGAGAAATGATAAAAATGTTGTAAAGTATTATTCGCAATTGAATCAAATTGTAAATGTGAGTTCAAAAAATATCAAAGGAATCAAGAGCTCTTTTAATGCTTTCAGAGTTACAAATCTTTGACAAATGTTCAAAGGGACGAGTCGGCTTTAGGTTGACCTCCTTTCTAAGGTTTTTGGTAAAAACGTCATTTTTTTTAAAATATCGCAACATGCTTTGGCACTTTAATTGGGTGTG